CTCCTGTAAGAAACTCTCACACAGGTTCTTTAAAGTCAGGTTTAAAGGTGGTAAAAGCCTTGAAGATCTTCTCTTACAAACTGGACAAACTGAAAACAGGATGTCTAAACACGTCACTACAGTCCAGACAGCAGAGGTCCTCCTCTGATCTGGAAGCCATTTTGTCCCTGAGAGAAAAGCACAGTCAGTTGTGCTTCCTCTCTCTCCTCCACTGACTTCACTGAACTTTATGCTGAGTTCAAGTTATGTGATTTTAGCCCTGATTTTCCACTCAGCAACTATTTTGGGAGACATGTTAACCCCTCGGGCTTGACAAGAGCTTGCTGAAGCCGCCAGAAAACTGTCTAGCAGGCTAAATATCTGGACGTGTTGGAGACGACTGGGGGAGCCTCTTTCTACAGCACCAAACAGGAAGCAACGAACCAGTAGTTACTTTGGTAACAGCCAAAAAATCTCATCAGATATGTCACACACAGAACAGACGGTGAATTAACAGCGTTATGTTCAATTCAGCGTGTGTCTGATTCACATCCACTACAACGGAGGCTGAACAATTTGAGTTTATACAGAATACACTAACTTTATGGGTGATATTGATCAGTATACACTGTATCTTTATGGATGATATTGATCAGAAACAGTCTGATAAGGTTGTCTGACAGTAATAGTTTGATTAATGCTTTAATAATGGGAGTATTGATTACTGATTATCAGTTATCATCTAATGGCAGTATGTTGCAAATGATTCCCCTTTTTGTCACTCACTGCTGAAAGAACAGAAGCCAATGAAATATTTTTATATATAATCGATCAATAAACTGAACTTTATAGTCAAAGAGCAGCTGTATTGACATTTTAGGTGCTCATTAAATAAACATTTCCTTCACTGTTTATAAAGCTAATGCAGGCTGCAGTACTGCTACACAACCAGCAGGGAGAACCACTGACGTCAGGTTAGACTTTAGAGAAAAGATCATTTCCATTTCCTCAAAGTTTTATCAATAACTAAAGATACTCAGATTTCTGTTCAAAATCAAAATTGATCTTATTTTATGAAGCAGAACTGTTGAGTACAAAATGTAATGTTCAGTCTGGGTCTGCAGCTGTTACATTGACTGATGCTAAGCTGCATATGTTGGAGAATTAGCATCATTAGCATTAATAATCAGCTAAATGGATGATATAGGAGGTGTTTTGTGTCCATATTTCAGCTCCCAGTGGGCTGACTGTGATTCAGTTTGAGGTTATTCATATGATCAATACATTGGAGCTGCATTATTGAATCAATAAAGCTCAGTGTGTGAATGTTCACACATAATATTTCTTTACATTTCTTCTGTTATGCAGCATTTTGTCACTGATTGTCTGTGCCGCTGTTATATATTAATCATATAAATAAACTTAAAATTTACTTAAAATAAGCCCACTGGGAGTTTAAATATGGACACAAAACTCACATATTGTCCAAATCAGCTGCTGAGATACCCTTTATATAGATGATTATTAATGCTAATGATGCTAACTGTCCAACATATGCAGCTTAGCATCAGTCAGTGTAACAGCTGCAGACCCAGACTGAATGTTTCTAACATTAAACTCTGTACTCAACAGTTCTGCTTCACAATTAGCTGACAAATAGTGAGACCTCTGGTTTCTGCCTTTAAACATGTGATGGTAAAAGCTCTTCATCCTCTGGATGTGTGTGTGTGTGTGTGTGTGTGTGTGTGTGAGAGAGAGAGAGAGCTACAATCAGTCAGACGACCACAGGTCAGGGGACAACAAACGCTTTTAGTTAGAAAGAAAAATAAGAAAACAGGTAAAAACTAGTTTTGTCTACAGCGACAGTGTATTGGAGTTTCCACTGAATTCCAACCAGTAAAAGCAGAATATTCATCCTCAATATTAGCAACTATGAAGTCACCACACACATCACTACTAAGTCTAGAAACACAACATGGCTTGGCTGACATGGTGGCTTCTGGCAAGACGCACAATATTATAGGCACTAAACTCTGGAACATGCAATATGGTGGCTGGTTACTGTAGTTTGTGCCGGTCGAGTCCTGTGGAGTGAGTCCGTTCACAGAGGGACGTTTGATTTCTGCAGCTGCGTGAGAGACAGCATGCTAACGTGGTCTGAGCAGACTGGGCGGCAGGCGGAGCGCCAGGTACGCAGCGGCGAGGCTTCAGCCTCAGGTAGATACAAACAACGTCACCTGCATGAGGTCACAACAAAGACACCGGGGCGTCAGGTGAGTGGACGAGGCACGTTAATTTAATCCAGGATGAAGACATTCATGTTTTTCTGCTCAGGGGGTGAAAAGCTCAATTTCCCAACGTCTGTCCTAAAGTGCTGGAGCTTCCCCGAACAGTCATGTGACCACTAAGGTGCAAAGAGTTCAGATCTACGGAGAGAGCATTAACATTCAACCTGCATCTGGAAGTTCAGGTGTGAGAGCTAACAGAGAGATTCATCATCAAACTGTTGAATAATCAGAACTAAAGATCAATAATGATTATTAGTCCCTCCAGGAACGTGTTTTAATGGCCTAAAATGTCTCATTTCAGGAGCAAGTGAAAACTGCAAAAATAATTCATTAAAAATCAAAGGCAACTTGTTCCAGTGAGAGCCACAATGATTTGGCCCTCACAGTCAGTGCAAGTTGGGGCGTGCTGCGGTCGCGTTATGCGCCAGCACATCACGTAGAGACCACGTTGTGAGAATTTCACATAAATCAGATGATCGCCACATCGATCTGTTTCTATTAGGTACCGCTATGACTATGACTAAATATTAGCACATAGATGTGTTCAGGACGGGACTCTCAGACACGTAAAGTTTGGTGCAAATTGGAGAATGTACACTCAAGTTACAACAACTTCCTGTTTAGTGGCAAAACGTTGATCGCCACAGACTCGTTAAAGTGTACTGATTACACAAAAATTTAAGCTTTTAATTTTTTCGTCTTTAGAGTGTATTGATCAAATTTAAAGTCAATATGATACCGGAGCAGGGCCCGAATGAGCCACAGAACCGGAGCGGGGCCCGAATGAGCCACAGAAC